GAGTCAATTTTCTGGGCAGGAATGATATTACAGTTTTCCACGGAAATCATATAGATTTAGCAATGCCCAAACAAATCTGTACTGGAAACAGTATTGACGGAACCCATAAATGATGGACCAGGGGAACCAAGAAAACGCTGGCACAAAAGAGAGAAAATTAAGCTCATTTTCACGTGGAAAATTGCCACACAAGCATTCCTGACGGATATATAACTTCATAGTGAATATTTCGGGGCGGGGGGGCAGCGGAGAACTGCTGGCATCGAAATGTTTAGCGGAAGAGCCCTACCCACATTCTCGAGAACATCCGGATTGTGCAAAGTAGGGTAAGCAATGCTGTTAAAAATAATCAGGAACCAAAGTGATGATGTATCGTCAAGTTCAGGTCTCCTCATCGAAACAGATCTCTTTTCAGATGTGGAGGTCACCCAACAAAGGCTATGGTTAAAAGCAGGTTTAATCTTTTTTTGTGTCCTGGATCTTCTGGGCAGTTGGGTGAGACCTATGGACCCTTCTCAGAATAATGTTCTTTGAATGCATAAAATTAAATATACAGCACTACAAAGAAAACCAATTAGAATGAAATACAATTATGAAATTTTTTTTTTAAGTTCATGAACCATAGTTGAGAATCCCTGGTGGTTTAAGGCTTAAAAACAAAAAAAAGAGTAAAGGTATTAAAAACTTAAGAGTACATGCTAAATAACAGTGGCCTATGAAAACCATTTCAACTGAGCAAAAAAAGCTCTCTAGCAAATGTCTTTTTGTGTATCTCCCCACAGCTGAGGAAGGTGGCCCCACAGCATGGTCTTCTCATTTATTTGGGTCTTGTCCACATCAGGCCTATTGCTCATCGCCGGGGCCGAAGCAAGCCGTCTGGCTGGGTTCTAGACTGTGGTTCGTTCATTTCCTATCCCTAAAGCTGATCAGAGAGTATCTCTAAGACAGGGCTTGAAGAACAACTGGATTCCAAAAGGAAGTCAATGAAGTAAAAGGTCAGGGTGTACGGATATGACATCTTGTGGATATGCCAACCACTACCGCAGCTTCAGGGGGTAGAGAAGGGATATGAAAAATCAGAGCATATGTATCTTTCTTTTTATTTCTCCTTCTTTCCTTTCTTCCTTCCCTCCCTCCTTTTCTTCCTTCTCAACTAATCTAAGCTAGCCTTAGAAATAGAAACTTAACCCAGAGAATCGTCCCTAAGACTAAATTCAGTCAAGCCTGCACCCACTGCCACCATCTTGGTCTCTTTTCTCAATTTCAGCTCAGACTCTTCTATCTTTTATTTCTCTTTCTAAAGACACATTTAGAGATGAAACCATCCATAACTGCCTATCCACAGACAGTTTGTGGCAGCATAATTGACAATGAGTCTGCTGCAAAAAAAATGAAAATGCTGTTTTAATAACCTTAGCCTAAAATACATTCTCTTGTATGCCTCAAAGGGTTTCAATAAAAAGTCAACCTGTAGAGACATATTTTCTTGGCTTAAACAACAATCCAAAGCATATAAATGTAGTCCAACTATAATGACATATTTATAGGCCAATAAAGCTTACACTGAAGCTCTCAGACCTCACTTAAAGGTGCTCTGTAAGAAACAGTATTATAGAAAATAATTTGAATTTATTTTCAAACTACAGCTGAAAGAATATAAAAATGCAAGTTTTCCATGTTTAACCAATTGTGTTTCCACAGTTCAGTTGCTAAAATTTTGGAAAATGAAATAATTCCTCATTCGCCAATTTCCCACTCCCTACCAAATATGGGTGTCAAGTCCACTTTATTACAAAAGCTAAGTACTGTAACTCTAACGACAAAAATAAATAACTAGAGGCCTGTGTAGTGAACGATTTAATCAGCCCAATTCTTCTAGAAAAACAGGTTCTTGTATTCATTATGCTTATGAATAATACATTCCTCAGCCATTCTATTTTTACATATTGTTATTTTTCTTTATTTTTTTTTTAAGAAACTGAATAAAAGAGTCAGAAAGAAGGGAGGAAAAAGCAGCTTACCAAGTCAAGTCTCAGTCTGGGTTTGTGCTGGACTCTGGGGAAAAAGAAGCAAGAGGAGACAGCAGGAGGGACGAGGGGAACCTCGACTCACTCCCTCGAAAGAACTTGGCTCCATTCTTGGCCCTGTTCTTTCCTCTGCTCAGTCTGTTGTTCTTTTCACCAATCACGATAGGATTTTAAATGGAAACTCCAGAGATGTAAAGCACTCCAACAATACACAGGCAAATATTGTCCAAAAGGAATGGCAGGAAGGAGGGGGAAGGTGAGAAGAAGACCTGTTGTCATTTGAATGAGAACAGTCAATGGGAGCTAGCTGAGTTTCTCTCCGCAGAGCAGAAACTGGCTGGCAGACACATTTGTAAGAACCCTCTTGTTTTTCCTATTCAGAAAGAGGCAGGAAGTGAGACACACTAAGATTAAAGGGAGCTAGTTCTACCTAAGTGAACAGTCTGGGTTCTTTAATTAGATTTGTATGTCTAAAACAAATCCATTCCTTAAAGGACAATGTATTTATTTATTTATTTAAGAAAAAAAACCCAAAACCAGGATGAAGTGACTTAGTAATTAAAGAAAACACTCTGGAGTCTTCCTTTATGCCCAGAAAGGTGACAAGTTTCCATTTTTGTTTCTTTCCACCAGAAGGAGAAAGAGAGGGTCTTAAATGATCATACAAGTTCACTTCCCCTCTTGGGTAATACCAAGGAAAGACCTATAGTAAGTATGTGAAGTGCCATTAACAATGAGGGATTGAAAGTGCTTTCAGTGGCCAGGAGAAAGGTAGATAAGAAAAATCACTGTATGCAAAGAAAAAAGCAGACAGCATATTTCGAAGTTGCACCCAGAGAAGGGAAAAAGCCAGGGAGAAAGTACATTCTAAAGGTGTGGGGACAGGAATGGGTGCCTAGCAGACGACACCAGCGATGTCCTCCACAGAAATCCAGACAATGTAAGACTTGAAAACCACAGATCAGAGAGATAAAAGGAAGTTCATTACATTAAGGAAAGTTTTTGTTTCTCTTTGCACATTATTGCAACACAGTGTGCATTCCAATTACAAAAATGATGTCTTGAAATCCCCACAGCTCATACCAACTGAGTGGAATTTCAAGGCCCCAGATCCTATCCTTAAAGGGCATTCTGCTAAAAAAATAATTAGTTTGAGTTAGAGTGACTTGCCACTCACCAGAAGACAGATTCCTAACCAGCTCTCCTGATCTTTGTCTTATCTTTCTTTGGACTAAACTGTAGGTCAGGTCAAATGTAGATATTCTAGGCTAATCCAGGGTCTGGATTCCTAAAGAAACATTTATTTAGCTCCTACTCTTGTTCAAGACCATGCCTTAATTAAAAGTACTTACATCAAAAGGGTAGGTAAAGCATTTGAAATTTTTGGTGCTACGCATGGCCCTTTGAAAAATGATCCAAATAGCAAAACAATGAAGCTTTTTTTTTTTTAAAAAAATGGAGCTTAAAGAATAAAAACACTAAATTATCTGCTACAGTGGAAGGACTGAATTTTTTGTTTGTTTCCATTCATAATGCCTCGATTAAGAATAAAGCCTGGTATAAAAATGTATCAGCTTCCTTATGAAGTACCAGCTACATATCCTCCTGTCTCCCAGGGGTTTCCTGCTGGTCTGTTTGTTAGTAACAGTATATTCCATCACACAGGAAAAAGGAAAAAAAAAAAAAACCACCAAAAAATAAAAAAGGTTTTTAGCTTTAAGGGAAACACAGAACAATGGTAGGGAGACTGGGCTGTTGAGTCAGAATCTCAGTGTAATTCACAAGTCACCCAATGAGAGGAGGATAATGGGCCATAATATCCTTGGCAGTTTTAGAGCTAAAAACAGGAATAGCTCAGTCGAGAGACACACTCTGTAACTTTGGAGGGAAAAGATACAGGTTTAGTAACTTCCCCTAACAGTGTGTATACATTTGGGCATACGCTGGACTTTCCATGTGGGTACTGCACCTGAAAGATGAAGACTTCAGTGCCTTCCAGCAAACACAGCAGATCATTCAACTCAAGTAATAGAGCTGACTGCAAGGAACTGGAAGAATGTTCAGTTCTGAACGAAGAAGGCTTCTCTTCAGAAAATGGAGCCCATTATCCAGACAGAGGGATTATTAATATGATGCACTTTAAAAAAAATGTAGGTAATGTCTGACTGAGAGACAGCATGGCCTTGGAGTCAGGAAGACTTGGGGTCAGGTTCCATCTCTTTCATGTACTTGCTATGGGACCCTGGGCAAATCATTTAACTTTCAAGCTCTAAATCGATGGAACTGGGTTTGAATTCTGTCTTGCCTACTTACTGTAACTACATGAGACTGGACAAGTTGTGTAACCTTTCTGGTCAAGGACCAGATCAGACTAGATCAGGGGCTTTTAATCTGGAATCTATAGACACCAAGGAGTCTATGGTTAGATTTAGATATGGATATGGATAGATTTCAGGGGATCTATGACCTTGGATGAGAAAAAAAAAGTTATATCTTCATTTTCATTAACCTCTAACTGAAATTTACCATTTAATTCAATTATGAATTAACACAACACTATTCTGAGAAAGGGTCCATAAGTGTCACTGGACTGCCAAGGGTACTGTAATCAAAAAAGGGTAAGAACCCCTGCACTATAGACGATCTCCAAAATTCCCCTCCTGATTTACAATCTAAGATCCTCTGGCCAGATCCCTTGATTTTTGGGAGCCTCCATGGCAAGGAGGATACAATTTCATATAGTAGGCACAAACTGTTTTAAATGTTAGTGATATGTTCCTATGTCCATTTTTGTTCATGACCAATATCCACACCTTGGGAAATACACCATGTCCCAGTATGGCAGAGGGTTAGAGACCATGAGTCTTTCTGGGAAGTCCCTAAAAAAGTTAGCCCCCGAAAACACATGGGCACACATCCCACCACCACCTCCCATGGACATATGCCAGATTTAGGAATGGAAGCTCTATTTACCAAGGTCTGCCTTTTCCTTGAGGACATCTTTGAAGTTGAGTCCGCTGTTCAAGGTCGACTGCCTGTATTTGAGCAAAGCTTCCTTTTGTCCATTCTTGCTCAATTCTTCAAGTTTTACTGGCCCAGCCCGAAGACCACACTTCCACTTGGAGAAATCTGAATGGGCCCATTTGACCAGGTCTTCAAGCTTCACAATTACCTTTTCGGAAACTGCAATAACTTCATCCTAAAAGCAGTTGTCAAAGAAGAAACCAAAATGTAATTTCCAAGTACAAAGTGAATGGTATAGCACAGTCCTAGCTGACACACCATTTGAACTGGGCAAGCCTTGCAGGGTAGACCATGATGTGGGATATGTGTGTGTATATGTGTGTGTGTGTGTGTGAGTGTGTGTGTGATTTTTTTTCCTTCTGTACCAAAGAACATTCAATAACTTATTTTTATTTTTATGGCCTTTCAATGACACCATTAGCTGCTGACTTATGGGAAAAAATGTATATGATCAAAAATATCCAAGAATATCAGATAAGCAGTAACTCTAATGGCAATTCTGATTGTGGATTCTTCAGTGGATTCAAAGCCTTGGGTGAAAGCTAGCATTTTACTGCAATTAACTACAAATGTAAAAAAGGAGGGCCAGATGACTAATGGTTAGCCAGTCCTCGTATAAATGGACTAAGTAAATCTAGGATTCTTGGAACTCTGACTCACCAGAAAATTCCTATGTTTATGGTACATTTTCCCTTGGCTTATACACAAATATTGAATTTAACTTTTGTCCTAAAAATTAAATAAAACTGTGATGTAATCCCAAAAGAAATACTCCATAAATGTTGTGTTTTTCCCACCAAACAAAACTTACACGTTCTCATGTTTCTTAAAATCTTTGTAAGTTGAGAAATGAACTGATTTTTTTTTAAATGGGGGGGAGGGGAAGCCCATGATTCAAAAAAAAAAAAAAAACACTTTAAACTTAGCCTGTACTATGGAAAATGCACTTGAATTTTAAGTATATCTAATTGCTTCCAGGAAACAATCAACTCTTCTCACTCAGAATGTATAAAGTAAGTTAATAAATCTCTCTGGATGTAACAGAATCCCCCCCCCCCCCCAGAAAGATGAGTTAGGAAGGGTGTCAGCAGATAAACTCTCCGGTCTTAACTTAAATATTTGAAACACGTGACATTTCAACTTGAACTGACTGCTCCAACTTCTTTCCATTTCCCATTTCAGAAGAAAGATTCAGCTGTGAAACCCTTTTGAGCCTGTGATATCTCTGCTATCAACATTTTTTCCCACACAACAGAAAGATGTCTTGAGGTTGTTAAACAAAAGGCAGAGTTGATTCTGCCTTCCCCACCCTTTAAACACATTTACACACAGATACATTACTCAATGGGAAACAAACAAACAAATGGTTATTGAGATAAGCTTCCCACAATATGGACTCCTAGCTTCAGAAAAAAGATGTAAAATTTTATTTTTCCTCATTCAATTCCAAACTGCTTTCTGAGCACAGTGTCTATTACACCTCAGCAAAACAATAAATATTTCATCAGAAATGAAATGTATGTTTGTGTGCTTGAAAAAAAAATAAACTTTTGTAATGGAATCCCTTTCCTTATCGCTATTAAATATGAACTTCCGCTAAATGGGAGACAATGGAAACAGTGTTTTTATCTTCTGTTTATGAACATTTTTCAATACTTTGTAAACAATGGGGCATACTATAAAGGAGAATTTCAACGGATGATTTCATCCAATTTCATTACACCGTCCTCTTGAAAAAAAAAGATCTGTAGTTGCCGTGCATTTCATCGCTATTACATGGTGATTATTAAATGCCAGAATAAAAATTCAGGCTGGGTGGTGCATCAAAGCCGACTCCACAGTTCCTGGACAGAACACTGTGGAAGCCTTGTTTAGAATGCATGAGCAGATAATGAAGTCTCACAATATATCACCCTTCACATTAGAAAAATGTTTTCTAGCATCAGTTGCCATAAAATATGGCTCCCCAGATCAGACATGTTTGGGGCTAAGTGTTGTTTTCAAATAGCCCTGGTATGATCAAATGATTATCATTTCAATTACCAGTTGCTTCAGATACTTTCCAAGAAATGGTATGACTAGCTCTGGCTGGTATACGAAGCAAGCCAAACAAATCATTTATTAACCAAGAAAAAATGTAGCCCTTCTTCTGTCATTGGTGAATAAGCTCATGTTTCAAGATTCAACCCAGAGATCTCTTGTGTCTCATTCTCACATATATAGGCACACAAATCAACCCCAAAATATCTGAATGCCGGCAACTCAGAAACCCAAGTATGGTTAAATTGTAAAACCACTAGTCTACTTCACTGTGGATTCAGAGAAACTGGCCCTACCACACTGTCCAATGCCAGAATTTAGAAGGGAAGAAGGAAATCTGGTAAGGAAAACAAAGCAAAAAAAAAAGACATTCCACAGACACACATACACCTACATGCATGCATACATATATATACACATGAATGAAGCGGTCCCAGGATTACTTTCCAGACCCAAAATTGCACATTCACTTTTATTATTCTGAGTGACAACCAAGCCACAAAATCAAGCGCTGACTCAGGTTGTTAATACTCTTCCAGTTCCTGGGTGAGTATGAAGCTCCAAGAAAGGAATCTTAGCACACTCATCATACAATTACATTAGCCCTCAGCAAACCAGGTATTAGCCCTAGATAAATACTGCTGATGTACATGAGTACAATACAAAGGCGACGTAAAGAAGTCCACACTGCTCTTCTAACAAGACACACTACAGTTTCATCAACGTGAACTGAATTCAATAAGCAACCACAAAGTGTGATATATAAAATATATGTATACATATATTATATGCATATATATATGTGCATTATGTAGTTATATATGGGGAGGAGAAAGAGAGGGAGAGGGGGAAAGAGAGAGAGAGAGAGAGAGAGAGAGAGAGAGAGAGAGAGAGAGAGAATATGTAATGGTGCATGGGATAGAAAGCTAGTCCCTCAAAGTCAAGAAGACCTGAATTCAAGTCTTGCCTCTAATACATACCAGACTCTGTTATTGCTTTTCTTTCTAACACCAGAGTTTAACACAATATCTGGCACATGCACTTAAATAAACTGTTTGTTGACTGACTGACTGACTGACTGACACTTGGCAAGTCAGTTAACCCGTCAGTGATCCAAACAAAGATATAATAATAAAAGTTGACCAAAAGGGGCTGACCTGAATTGGCAGAGGGAGTCTCCTTATTTGGATATTCCCTATATCAATGAAATCGAAGGAACTAGTCCTAATCCCTATACACATAGAAAGAGCACTCTTTCTTGACTTTGGAGTCAGAAGACCTGGATTCAAATTCTAAGACTCAGTTTCCTCATCTGTAAAATGAGGGAATTGAACTTAATGCCTCCTGAGGTCCTTTCCAGCTCTGTAGCTTTATTTCTTTTTCTTTTCTTTTTTCTTTTCTTTCTTTTTTTTGGTGAGGTAATTGGGGTTAAGTGACTTACCCAGGGTAACACAGCCAGTGTCAAGTGTCTGGTCTGAGACCAGATTTGAACTCAGGTCCTCCTGACTCGAGGGCTGGTGCTCTACCCACTGCGCCACCTAGCTGCCCCTGGAGTTTTATTTCAATCAATCAGTGAGCAAACATTAAGTGTCTACTGTGTGCCAGGCACTGTGCTAAGTGCTGGGGATACAAAAAGAAGCAAAAGATAAGTCCTGATTTCAAGGGGCTTACAATCTAATGGGGGAGAGAACAGGCCAACAAATATATATGAAGTGAGCTACATACAAAATAAGTATGAAATAATTAAAAGAGGGAAGACACAGAAATTGAGAGGTTGGGGAAGACTTCCTACAAAAGACAGAGTTTTTGTATATATTTAATCCTCATGAAAACATTGTGAAGTAGATAGTACAGGCATTATCACTCCCATGTTACCAGGAAGGAAGGAAGGAAGGAAGGGAGAAAGAAAAAAGAAAAAAAGAAAGGAGGGAGGGAGGGAAGAAGAAAGGAAGGAAGAAAAGAAAGAAGGAAGGAAAGCACACTTAATATGTGCCTGGCACTGTGCTTATGCTAAGCGATGGGAATTAAATACAAACAAGAAGACAATTGCTGCTCTCAAGGACTCTAATGGTGGAAGGCCACACCAACGAGGAGCTGGAGGATTCATGCGCAGGGCCATACTTTAGAAATGGTGACATGGGGGTCTGGTTGTGGGCAAGATGATGCAAAAGCTCGCTTATCAGCATCCTATATCCAGGGAAAGAGTCTAAAGTTCTGATGGGGAAAAGATGAGGATGAAGACTTAAACCCAAATCTTCATGACATGGAGGCCAATTCTCTATCCAGTACACCATGCTGACTCTCTCCATAACTAACAATCAGTCAATGAACATTTATTAAGCACCTACAACATGGCAGGCACTGCTAGGTGCTAGGGACACAAAGACAAAGTGCAAAACAGTAACTGCCCTCAACGAGTTTACATTCTATCACGAGAGTAAATATATACATATGGAAATATATGCCTAACAGATAGATAGTATTATAGGGATGGGAAGGAACCAGCAGCTGATGGAACCAGGAAAGGAAGGTGGTACTTGAACTGCATCTTAAAGAAAACCAGGGCTTCCAAGAGGCAGAAATAAGGAGGTCAAGCACTCCAGAGATTGGGAGGCCAGACCCCTTACAAAATGGCACCCATTCATTATCTCTGGTCAGTAACTATAGTACTTCGAGCCAAATCACAAAATCAGAATTGTAAGAACTAGGACACTTAGAGATCCAATGCCTTCCTTTCAGAGATGAGAAGCGCAAGGTCATTTGTGCAAGGTCTCCTAAGTAGTCAGTGGCAGAACTGGGACCAGAACCCCCAGCCCCTGGCCTCCTAGTTCAATGCTCCTCTTATTGGATACCGCGTGCTGTGTCCAAAAGGCTTTCTTCTGTCCCTCAGTAGCAATGTTGACCACCATAGCTCTCCTGAAACTCTTTAGTTCAGTTATCCTTCACTATGCCGATTCTCATTTCCCAACACTCACCTGAAGCTGCTCTCTCCACGGTCAACAACAATCTCAACGACTAAATCCATTCCTCTTTCTTCATTCTACTTGATCATTCCTCAACATCTGACAGTCAACACCTCCCTCCTCCTGGACATCTATCCTCCCGTGGCTCCCGAGCTGCCCCCTCTTCGTTGTC